GATTAAAAGATATAATTCGTGAAATTAGAGAAAAAAAGGTATTTAAATCTTATTAATTTATTTATCTATTGAAACGTATAATATGATTATTTTATGTTAATTTAAAAAAATTTCCTTTTTCTTATAATTTTAGGTTAGTTTATTACTTATAAAGGTAACATGATAGTATTAAATCTTAATTTTTAATTTAAAAATGTTAATTTTTTGACAATTCTATAAGAAATTTATGTTAAAAATACTTTTAGAAAATAATGTTTCTTAGGAATATTTTTTAAATAACAAACAAAACATGAAAAACTAACATTTTTAACTTTAGATTTAAAAAAATTAAAAATATTTTACATGTTATAAAAGAAAGAAAAATAGAGAGAACAAAAAAGACAATATGAGATGGAGAAAAAATAGAGAGAACAAAAAAAAATATCAGATGGAGAAAAGAATCTGACTAGTGTATTATCTTTGAGAGAGGACTAACCTATTTATAAGTACATGTGGTAACACACAAAAAAGGAATAATACATAACGAAAATATAAATGGTAATGATTGATAATGAATATTGGCATCCACTAATTAAGCCACTAATTATTATTCATAACACTCTCCCTTGGATGTCCAATATTTAGAATGTGTCTCGTTAAAACCTTACTAGGAAAGACCCTGTGGGATAAAAACCTAGTGAAGGAAAAAGAGTACATCATTCATAAATATTTATTTCTCCCTCTCATGCATACAATATTTAAGACGAAGGAATCCAATCTTGTGTATCAACTGTTCAAAAACTTTTCTTGGAAGTGACTTTGTAAAGAGATTTGCTAGGTTGTCACTTGAACGGACTTGTTAAACATTTATATCACCATTCCTTTGAAGATCATGAGTAAAATTTTTTTTGGGTAGAATATGCTTTGTTTTATCTTCCTTTATGTATTCATCTTTCAATTGTGCAATACATGCAACGTTATCTTCATATATAACTGTCGACGTTATTTTTCCAGAAGATAAACCACAAGTTTCCCGTTTGTGTTTGGGAATATTTGAATATAATAACCTCATATCCATTGTACCTCTAAGATAATGAAGGATTTGTTTAACTCCACTCAAATGTCTTCGTGTAGGTGAAGAACTATATCTTGCTAACAAATTAACAGCAAATACTATATCAGGTCGTGTATAATTAGCAAGGTACATTAGTGTTCCTATAGCACTAAGATATGGTACCTCGGGACCAAGTATTTCTTCATCCTTTTCTTGGGGTCTAAATGGATCTTTGTTAACATCTAAAGATCTTACAACCATGGGAGTGCACAATGGATGTGATTTGTCCATATAAAACCTTTTAAGCACATTTTTTATATAAGCTTCTTGATGCACAAGAATTTCATTTTATAAGTATTCAACTTGCAGTCCTAAACAATGTCTTCTAGACCATTATAAAAATATTTTTATAATTTTTTTTATCTTTAAAATCATTTGTATTTAAATAAATTTCACAATCATGAAAATACAAATATTCTATCAAATTCCTAATATGAAAAACATGATTACATAATAATGACAAAATATATTACATCAATGAAATATTGATATTTCTCACTTCTGATGAGAAAAAATGATAAATTAAAAAATATTGAATATTCTCTTTTGATAGCATCTTCTAGACACATTTCAATGATGTATAATTTTTTTTTATTTAATAGTGTCTTCAGGACTACTATAGTGTCTTTCAGACTACTTTAATACATAACAATGTAACAATACAAATATTTGATAAAATTCTTATTGTGGAAGATGAATAACTAACCTTGAAATATTTGTTTTGAAAAATATGATTTTCTTCATGAAAATTCTTCATAACTTTCTCTTGTAGTTGCAACACCAATAGATAAAAGACTATCGTGTTGATAACGTGTTATAAAAGAAAGAAAAATAGAGAGAACAAAGAAGACAATATGAGATAGAGAAAAGAATCTGACTAGTGTATTATCTTTAGGAGAGAAAAAAGGAATAATACATAACGAATATATAAATAATAATGATTGATAATGAATATTGACATCTACTAATTAATCCACTAATTATTATTCATAACACTACATGCCAAACACCCCATTAATATATTTTATATTATTTGAAACGTATCTTAACCAAAATTCAACAAATAAATTTTTGGCCACTATCTTAACTAATACAATTATCGATCTCAACTGCAATAAACTAAAAATACGTAGACTCGCTATGACATGCGCAAAAATATGACTGAATTTGTTTATCTGAAACTATTTGATCAATTATATTTGTCATCATCAAAAAGGGGAGATTATTGACTCAAACGAATGCCTCTGTATAAATACACCAATACAACTATATTTACCTCCTTCCCTATACACCAACCAAGATACTCCATTTTTTGTTTATCCTGATCGCATCTGCCCCCATCTCCCTCCAATTAACCAAAACAAGATGAAGGATCATGCACTTCACCTAAGACCAATGTCGAAACCATCAAAGGTTGAGGTTTGCCATTATAAAGGAGTAAGCTTGGACAAGGAATAGGACCTTGCCAAAGCACTTCAATACACTGAAGATGGCGCTGAAAAATTCTATTAGAACTTCATGTACAATTGCAATCAGGAGGCAAGTTCGTCTGGTCTTAGACGAAGAAAAAGCTAAGACACTCATGCTACGTGGGTATCGTTGGATGACCCCATGCAAAGTGATGCATTTCTCCAACAGTTATGCTGCCTTTCTTAGAAGAAGAAGAAGAGGTGAGCCAGACTTAGATGCTCTCAGCAAGGAGTACTTCATTCATTCTACACTCTTCAACTTGGATCTCTACAAGGATGAATGGAAGGTTGTCATAGACTCATGGTACAAAACTCCTATTCGTAACTGGTGCAAGGATATTCTCCCATGGAAACCTGGCATGCTTATGCCCTGGGATGTTTCTTCTGAAGTTGCACAATCTGAATCGTCTGAGCCTATCTCCGCTGAGCCAATCTTAGCGTCTGCCCCTCTTAACGAACTTTAGCTACATTTGAACCTGAACAACAATATGTCTCTATTGAGACATTCAACAAGTTTAAAGTAGATCTGGATAACAAGTTTGACTGCTTGTTCGACCTAATGACTTCTAAGCTATCCAAGGAACCACCTCCATCTTCGTGATCATTCGAGGAGATTAGTGTAGGAATAACTAAGTCAGGAGAATAATTAGATGTATTTTTATGTCCTATTATTTAAAGACTCTTCTCGTTGTATACAGTTCTTATTTAAATATGATATGTCATTTTTCCTCACAATTGTTGTTTCGATATCTATGCTATGAGTCATGTTTGATCTTATTGTGCATGATCTAGTCTAGTATGTCCCTTGTCATGCTACCCTTCTTTTCTTTCAACTGTCACTTAGAAACTCCTCTAATTCTTTTTGATGATTACAAAGGGGGAGAAATCGAATAGAATTAATCAAATAAGGTATCTAAATAAAAAAACAACTAAGAGACAACCTAGTAAAGGGGAGGGCACACACTAAGGGGGAGAACTGCAATAAACTAAAAATACGTAGACTCGCTATGACATGCGCAAAAATATGACTGAATTTGTTTATCTGAAACTATTTGATCAATTATATTTGTCATCATCAAAAAGGGGAGATTATTGACTCAAACGAAGCAATTTCCAGCAAGATTTTGAATGAGACAAATATAGTACATGTTGTTATTCCTAACAAGTGTGGACTTATTCTCAAACTGAGACCTCATCGAACTAACAATTTTGTTAAATGCCTCTCACCAATCCGTGTTAATCCTAAACAGGACCCTCCATGGATTAGTGGTTTTCGCAAAAAGGGGTTCTTGGAGTCGCCCAATGGACTTTTTTACTCAAAAAAAGTCTTTTAAAATCTTTCGAAATCCTAAACCAATACATCCCGTAAGAATATTATCCTTTCAACGACCATCAAAAGATTTATACAAGGGTTATAGTCTTTTTTTAATCGATTATTAAAATCATTCTAGTAATTTGAGGGGAGACATTAGTTGTTTCACATTAAAATAGTGTGAATGTTAATTACTTTTTCCATATTGAAATATATAACTTGAAAACTGCAAGACTAAAATATATATAAATTTTAATTACTTTTACTATATTTAATAATATCATTTTTAAAATACTTTACATTTCATTAAGATCTTATTTTCAATTATTCTTTTAATTATTCATATCAAGTTCCGATGGAGATTATTTAAGAAAAACAATAATTTTAAATAAAATTAGTAAAATTAATTGATGTTAGCAAATTAATATTATTAATCTGATTCAACTTTTATTTTTCTTCTTAAATTTAGACAGAAGAGTATTATTTGATCTTGGAAATGGATTTTCATAAGGGATTTCTGTAAGTAAGGATGTTTATTGATACAAACCAATCCAATGAACCTGAAAATTTGAACAGAACCGAATAAATTGGGTCATTTTTTATTTATTTATTAAATCATAACTTGAACCAAACCAATGAAATTCAACTTTCATCATTCGAGTATTAGATTTACAGTAAAACCCGATAACTTGATACTCGAACCCATCACTCTTAAGCTTATAATTTTATTATTTTATTACAAAGTACTCTGATTGTAAAACACTAAATGGACTTTTATGATATAATCATGTATTTTTTTAATTAATTTTATCTTTAGATAGTGCAAATCAATTCCAATCGAATGATATTATACACTTTTAATACCAAATTAAAATTTGAGTTTTAAGACAAAATCCTGTATTTTTTTATTTTTTGAAAAAGAAAATATTTTTCATTTTTATTTAAAAGGATATACAATTAACCCGAATCAAATCAACTCTCGATTAAATTTGGTCCGGCTTGTAAGATTTTTTGTTTTTTGGACAAAATCATCCCAAAATATATGATTGGCTCAAATTTCATTTTCCTTAAATAAGAACCAAACTGATTTCGTAAGATTCTTCCTTTTATGATGAAGTGACAGCAATTTCGTCTCAAATGAATATGAAGTTATATTGAGCATTTATAAAACGAATCAAAACCACATTTACATGACAAGTTTATATCCCATCACATCAGATATGACTATGTAGCCAAAAAAAATTTAAAAAAAAAAATCCACTAAGCTGCTCCAAAGAGGTATTTGCAGAAACTTTTTCTATGCTTCTGCAAATTTAATAGGTCGGTCAAGATGTAGATTTTCTTTCTCCGCATATGTTAGCCATTTACAGGCATTGAGGCATAGATGCCTCAACTCAATTCTTTTCAGAAATTTGAGAATGTCCTCAGAACCGCAAGACAACACTAACTAGACCAAAATGGTTGACTTCTATTCTGTGAATTGCAAAGGGTTTGCTCTCCTTGCTTACGAAAGCTGACTTCCTACAAAGCACACACTTGAGGCCAAACCTAATTGTTGTACATTAAGGACCATATTTTGTTTCATCAACATAGAGGTGAATAGCTATAGGAGTTATAGGGTTCCTATTGCATTGTCCAACTCATTGTCTTCAACAACTTAAGCTCAATAACACTAATGCCTCATATGCTATGCACTAATGACTCACAAATTGGATAGTTTCTTCCTTTTTGGGTTTGTCTTGCCTGAAGAATCACCTGAGTCTCGCTTCTTCCTGTTTTTCTTGTCATCAGGGTTATCATTAGGATTAACAGCTGCGCCCCCATCTACCTTTTCTTGCTCTTCTAGAGCATCTTTTACAAAAGCCTTCAACCTCCATAGAGTGTAGTCACTCTGTATATAATGACAAAAACACGTTGCGTAACTAGAAAAAGTAAATGCTAAACAAAAGAACCACTTAAATTGTATAGGATAGAAAAATTTTGACAATAGATGAGGTGAACATAATCGACTAGACAATGATCAACAGCACTGACCTGAGCATCTAAGTCAAGGTCCACCTCATCAGCCGTAGGTTGGAAGGTTGGGTTAGACTCAGCAACTATCTCCAATGCCCTATAGAGGTTTTCGGAAGACAATTTGCCAAGAGCTGTCCCAAGCATTTTCTTCTCTTGAGTAGACAGTTTCCTACAGTAATCAGAGCAAAATATGCATAATCAGCACTATCATAGAATGACCAAAAAAAAACAACAGAATACCATCACAAAACAAGTTAGAACTCCAAACTGAAATACAATATTTTGGACAAATTAAATATTGCCACTTGCACATTTCCATGTGACGAGTACAATCCTAACACGTCTAAATTCCCTACCCTAAAAAGTTGGGAGGAAATAACACACTAACTGACTGATTTACAGGGTACGAGGTTAATTATAACTTGTACCCTCCGGTCTTTTGCCGAAAGGGTCTATACGGGAGAGTGCTCCAATTTAGCCTCTGTACTAGAGGCTGGTGAACAAGTGTTGCCAAGAGGGTTTGGCCAAGTGTCTAGTTAAGTCCCTCACCACTCATATCCCTACTTGTAAAACATATCAGCATTTATCTGACTCAAGGCCTATACCTGATACAAAATTTAGTCATTAATGATCATAATTGAGCACCAAAATACGATACTCTAATAGGTAAATTTTCACAAAATCTTGAGATTCTCGGAGCTCATAAAGGCATAACAATTAGTTATAAAATCCTCATTCTAAGTAAAGAAAGATAGAATACATTTTTGAATACTCTGACTTTGGACAGGCAGCTAGGTTACTGCTAGAGCATTTTTCAGATCAGAACATAACTAAATATTAGATTTCTGCACAGTACACATTACTGCTCCGTCCCAGCATGGTTCTGCAATTACTCTTCACATTACTGTAGTAGTTTATTGTAGCAATGTTAGACTGTACATGTTACTTTTATTTTATGTTAAACTTTAGCAGTTTCGCACCAAAAAGAATAAATATCCAGCGGCTTAAATGACTAATCCCTTAATTTTTATCCAAGAAAGTAATTATAACTAGTAATAGTTTTACCTTTAAATCTTCTGGTAATAGCAAACATAAAGGGACACTTGCAACAGGGTTTCCTATGATATAGATTTCTTTTATTCTCCTCATTAAATAGGAACAGGACTTCAAAACTTGACCAATGACCACAATAAACACATACTACCTCTTCATATATTGGGAATAGCTTATTTTGAGTTTAAAATAACTAATGAAAATATTCCTGACAGATGTTACCCCATGAAAAGAATCTTACTGAAAAAGCTTTAGACTAAGAAAAAAGTAATTTTCCCTAAAAATTAAGCTAATCCAAACATGCACTTGGATCATGAAGCATCGAAGGAATTTTTCATGTCTTCATGGTTGTTGTAAATATCATTGAATATCTTCATGTTTCCTGGCTGCACTTTCTGTGAAATCTTATTGCGCAATAATAATTGAGGATAAAATAATTACTTTGGACTCTAATGAGTAATGACCTTCCAGATTAGGTAAATTCCTATCCACTTGGGGCCCATTTGGTAGCTAGGATAGGATAGGATATGATATAAGAGTAGGATAGGATAAGAGTATGATTTGACAAGAGCAAAATAAACTTTAACCATATCCAAATGTTAGGTGCACATCATGATAACAAACCAGATAACATTATTATACTATATGTTTTGTATTTAATATATACCAATAAGATATTGTATAAATTATATTTAAGTAACAAAATTTATATTTTATTAAAATTACATGTAACTAGTATTTTAGCCTGTGTAATACATAGACATGTTTTTTTATATATAATATAATTAAAATTTATAAAAATTATATATGAAAAATACAATATTTGAATTTATAAATTATACTTAAAACAAGTATACATAAGGATTTTTAAACATATAAATTATATTTTAGATTTATGATAAATAATTTATATTGTAAGAAAATATTTTTTAATTATTGATAATTTATTTTAAAATATTAATATCTAATTAATAAATAATTATGATAAATAAAAATCGAATTAGATAAGAAATTAAAAAAACCCCTACAAATCCTTTCGTCCAAGAAAAGCCCCTAAAAGAACTCTACAAGATAGAGGATTGTTTTCATATATAGGAGTTAATTTTTTTTTAAAAAATATTAATTTAATTTTTAAATTAAAAAATATAATTTTAACTATATAATATTTTTTCATCTATGTAGTTAATTTTCTTAAAATTAAATAATATTTTTAAAATTAAAATTATTTTCAAATATTTTTCTAAAAATTATTTAAATAATAATTTTTATTTTAATATTTAGTTAATAATATATTCTATATTTATATATAAATTCTGAATATAAATTTTATAATATATATTATATAAATTAATATATTATATTATAATATAATATAACATTATATATATTACTATGCAAATTAATATTATATAATATATATTATGATATATTTTATAAATTAATATTTAATATTATATATGTTAGATTTATTAATTTTTTGTTATTTATATTATTATTATTATTATTATTATAATAATAATAACAACAACAATAATAATAATTATATATTTTAAAATATAACATAATCCATAGAGAGAGAGGAGGGAGAAAGCTTATGTTGTTACTTCCTAACCCAACTTCTCAGGATAAAAAAAAATATACTAGACTAATAGGACATGATAAAACTATCATATACCGCTAACACATCAAACAACAAAGTATAACAAGATAGGATAAAATTATCATTTCCTGACTGCCGAATAGGCCCTTAATAGTCATAACTATCTACATACCCTCTAAGGGCATATGAAACTAAGTCATAATGAAGGGGGTGGTCCACCTCAAGCTGACCCAAGGTTTGATACTTTTATGCTTGGGATAATCAAGATTCCTATGACTTAAGAAATAAGTCGAAATTATTTGTGTTATCCCTTTGTACGTGAGCTGTGGGACAATCTTAGTGAGACTACTCCATGAAGGACATTTTTCTACCTAGCCAATAGGCAACCATAGACTTAAGCAGCTTCCCAAATTTGACTTCACCACAAGCATCTTGAACATCCTTTTTTTAATTTGCTTAGGTCTTTATTTTCCCATTTGTTTTTGACATTCATTGAGGACTGTGTCATAGACCTTTCTTATGAAACATAAAGGTTTGTCAAATATTTGTCAATTTTTAATGTCTTATTAAAAACAATTTGGTGAGTCTATTAAGAGACTTTGGTTGGACAATGATACAAAATATGTAAATCTTGAATTCTCTAAATTTGTTAAAGACAATAGTATTAACTTGAGTTAATACCCCCAACAAAATGGAGTTTTGGAAAGAAATAATCATCACCTTCTTGAAGTTTCCAAAGCTTTCCTCTTCCAAATATCTATCCCTTATGTCTATAGGGGAGAAATTTCCTAATTGTCACCTATTTCATTAACATGTTACTCGCGTTTTAAACAGTATTAGTCTAATTGAACACATGTTTTCATCATTTCCTTTTCCATGTCATGTATTTGGGTGTGATGCCTTTCTCAATCCTCATTGTCCCCACTATGGTAAGTTAAACCCAAGAGTTGTCAAATGTGTCTTTATTAGTTACCCCTCAAATAAAAGAGTATAATTGTTATCACCCTCAAGGTCGTTGAGTCCTTGTATCAATGAATATTTCATGAAACAAAATCCTTCTTAGTTGGCCTTCAGCTTTAGGGGAGGGTATTCTAGAAATCAAGTCTGTCTTAGGGTCGTTAATTTTTATTTCTTTGCAAGATGTTCAAGAAGTTGACACTATAGAAGCCCATAGTGAAGCAAAAAAGGGAGATCATAATGAAGTAGAAGAGAAAGATCGGTTCTTTAGAAAGAAATACCAAAGGGGAGAGAAACCCACTCTGGTCCCACAGCAAAATCAATTGTCCAAGCAGGAGGTATATGTCCCTAGAGATAATATCAAGGAGGTTACTACTAACATGCCTATTGCTTTGAGGAAAGGAAGAAGATCATGTGTCAAGTATCCTATTTCTCAGTTTGTTTGTACTAATCGTCTGTTTGTCAAACATCAAATTTTTATGGCATCCATTGATGCAATCAAAAACCAGGTATTGTCTAGGTAGCCCAGAAAAACAAAATTTGGATAAAAGCCATGAATGAGGAGATGAATGCATTGTAGAGAAATTCAACTTAGGAGATAGTTGACAAATCCAAGGACAAGAAGCTTGTAGGGTGCAGATGAGAATACACATTGAAGTGTAAGTCAGATGCAACCTTCGATTGATACAAGGAAATATTGGTGGAAAAGGGATACACAGAGACCTATGGATTAGACTATGAAGAGATGTTTGTCTCTAGGCAAAAATGAATATAGTGAGAATTATTAGCTGCCCATTTTGGCTAGGACATGCTACAGTTTGTTGTTAAAAATGTCTTCCTTCATGGAGACCTAGAAAAGCAAGTCTACATGGAGATTCCCCTAGGATTTGAATCTAATGGTGGAAAGAACAAGGTGAACAAGCTAAAGAAGGCTTTATATGGCGTCAAACAATCTCCTCGAGCATGGTTTCAAAGATCTACTAAAGCTATGATATCCTTGGAGTACAAACAAAATCTAGGTGATCACACCCTCTTTATAGAACATTCTCCTAATGGAAAACTCACTCTTCTAGTCAATGAAGACAACATGATCATTGCATAAGGCAAAGAAACTGACTGAAAGAAAAGTTAACAACTCATTTTGAAATGAAGTTGTTGGGAAAGTTGAAGTACCTCATTGGAATAGAGGTTGCCTATTCTAGAAAGGGCATCTTTTGTTGAATCCAAAACCCTAGTGGTTTTAATTATGACAATAACATTTATATATGCAAATAATAAGAATGATGAAATAACATCTGAACTAATAATTCTGGTAAGTGTTTCAGTAGATAAAGTCAGAATAAGCAGTTCAGATTATAGTTCAGAATGGTGACTTCCAAGATGAAGAACGGAAGGCCCCTGCAAACTTCATCTAAATGATGAAGAGAATGCTCATCTCTGATAACTTAGTCAAAATCAAAAGAAATATCTTAAAGGACTACATCAGAAAGAAGCTGTCTTAACTATTACATCATAATGGTGTACTTGGATTATTTCAATCTAAGCATGTATTGTATAAACAAAAAGAAGTGAGATTTAATTTCCTGAGAGGAAACCTCTACCATTATAGACAAACTTGTTGTATTTTCTACCTTGGGTATCTCAACCAAGACCTGTGAGGAGTTGTGGTTAAAGTTTTGCTGTGAGCACTGAGTGTATCTGTTTTAGGTGCCTTGAAAATAGTTGTGTGCTCTAGACAGTTGTACAACCAAGTGAGGTTGTTGTATTACCAATTGTGTTGGTTGGAGTTTACTTATTATATAAATCTCATTAGAATAGTGAGGACTAGATGTAGCTCTAGATTTAGGGTAAACCAGTATAAATCTGTTGTGGCTACCTCTTTACCTTTCTCTTTGATTCACTGATCTGAATCTATTTATCTATTAAATCTGAAGATTTAAACTTCATTACAGAACAATATTTTCAAGCAAAGTAAAATATAACACTAAAACCAATATTCTTGAAAAGTATTCTGAGCCTCATACTAATTTTATAAAACTACTGTTTTTACATTCTGAGCTTGGAACATTCTGAACCAGTAGTTTCTAAACATAAGAAAGGAACTCCCACCCCCTCCCCCCTCATGTGTTAGTTTATTCACTTCATCTTTAATTCCCGATAGATGTACTTTTTTTTCTGAAAGAGACGGAAATAATTGGAATATAAGACCTCAAGGGTAACCATTGAATATAACCACAAGGTTGGATGTGAAGAAAGTCTATTTGTAGAGAAGTCTCAATACAAAGATTGGTAGGGAAGCTAATATATCTATCTCACACTAAACCTAATCTTGCTTATATTTTTAGTGTGTTCGGTCAATTTATGCATGGCCCTTGAGAGATGATGCACCTTCGAGCAGTTGATAGAATCCTCAAATATTTGAATGTAAGTCCAGGGAAAGAACCATTATTCAAGAGTATGTACATTGTTCGAGGAAATTTATACTTAATGCAAATTTTGTAGGGTTAGACGTATATCAGAGATCGACCTTTGGTTACTACATGTTTTTGGGAGGGAAGTTGGTAACATGGAGGAGCAAGACAAAATTTATTTGCTCAATCTAGCACAGAAGGATTTTGAGCTATGACACACGACATATGTGAAGGATTATGGATGAAGATTATTCTAAGTTAAATATGAGGGACCCATGACGTTGTTTAGTGGCAACAATTCAATTATTGGTATTGCCCATAATGCAGTCTAGAATAATTGGCCAAAAACATAGAGATTCACAAGCACTTCATCATAGGAAAATAGGACAACGGCCTTATAATTATAGCACATGATCCTACGGGGATCCAATTGGCCGATGTCTTCACTTAGCGGCTTCATATTGCTAAATTTTAGAAACTTATTGGCAAGTTGGGGATGATTGATATTTATTTACTAGCTTCAAGGAAAGTGTTGTAAACATCATAGATATTTTAGGGGGTCCAAAACCATCTCATTGCATCTTGATATTTATTTCTTTATTTCCTTATTTTCTTATTTCTGATTTTCCTTTTTAAGATTTCCTTACTTAGACATAGTTGATTACCCTATTAAAGGGAGATTAGAGAATGTATTGTATTGTACAATCAATATACAAATCCTTTATCTTCCAACTATGTTTCATCACCAGGAAAATTGAAAATAATCTTCAGCCCATTGAGGGAGACCATTACCATAATTGGAAAATTGTGAGCAAGTAAATTAGGCATAAAGTTTCATATCTAGGAGCTGCTGGGTTCTAAAGGGGCAATTTTTTAAAAATAGACGACATGGTTTTACTACAACTACTACAAGAATCTAGTGATTATATACATAGACTGAAAGTGAAAAGAACAGAAAGCAACAAAAGAAGAAAGAACAACAGCTATCAATCAAATTACTGCCTAAAAAGACAATCATATAATTTTGTTGGTTTTATTGTTGATGTATAAGAATAACTTTCAACTTTGACAAAGTTGGAAAGACATTTTTTCAACTTATTTTATCTTTAGTCTCAAGTCTCAACAGCTTTTATTTTAGTAATTATGTAAATAAAATCCTTCAATGCACTTATTCTTCAACTGACTACAGAATGTATGATGCCTAGTTAATCTACAAGATGTTGAACTATTTTCCAAACCTAAGTGCATGTTTGCTCCAACTTATTTTCAAGAAATAATTGCATATTTTTACTAGTTTTCTTAAAAGAACTTTTAAAAACTAAACAAGTATTTCTTCAAAATTAATCTAGAGATTAACAAAATTTAAAACTACATAGGCAATCAAAGTTTCTTAACAACATTTATTGTTCTTTTTTTTGGCACCAAACAACATTTATTGTTGAACCTTCAACAAAATTACTTGTATGACATAATTAAATTGTAAAAATAAATTACTCATTTGATTTCAATATTAGAAATATGGCGGTTTTCATTTTCCACTTCTTAATGAATCAACTTTTCAATAAACAAAATATGCACTACATTTTAAACAAACTTAACGAGAGGGTTCAGTAATTTTTCATGAATTTAATCACCATTGAGTTTAACATCAATCATATTGTCAAAAGAGCAAGACTTAAATAAACCAGACTAATAGTAATATGACACAAACTTCACAGATGCAATATCAAATTTCCACTCCATTTGATGTCAGTGACATGGAAAAATGATGAATGGTTCACAAACCTGCACTTTTGAATCACCATTTCTTTGAGATTCTTCAAAAGCATATCAACCTTATTAAGCTGAAAAAATAGGTAGTTGACAGCATAAATTATCTAATATACTCCTATGTGACATCAAATAAATGGTTTTCCTGAAAAACATAATACTAGCAAACAATAACCAACAACTAACCTCAGTGCTTATATCCTTAGCCTTATTGGCATAAGAGGTCTCTTGAGCAAGTTGAATGTCTAGTTGTGCCTGTGCTTCTTCCTCTAATTGTCTTTTTTCCTACCATGCACAAATATAGAAAGGTAATGACAAATAATATAGGAGGACCAATATTGCAGCTGCAACATGTACAGCCTCAGAAATTGTACATAAACATTTCAATTTTTTCTTTTTTGTAAAAGAAGAATATCATTGAGATAAATAGAAGACAAATAGACATAGGAGGATAAAGGATCCTCCAAGAAAAACAATCATTCAAACAAAAGAAAACAATGCCCCATTCAACTAAGAGAGTCACCTTTCCGAATAGCATTGACCTATAATGTCAAAGCAGTCATGCCTATAGAAATTGGAGAAGGAAAATGAAAATCTCCTCCCAAAGGAGTTAAACATGATTGATGAAAGAAGAGCAACTACCCACAAGTTGAAGCGGACAAAGGGCCACCCTACAACACAAGAATGTCATCCAATGACATTCAATGTCAACAACCTCATTCTCAAGACAAGAAGGTTAGAATAAGCGCAAAGGACTTCCTAAAGGAAAATTGGCTCCTAATTGGGAATGCCCACTACAAGGAATCAAATAAAGTCATGAAAGAAGCCTATCCCCTAGAAACATTCTAAGGGAAGGAGGTATCAATTACCAAGGTATGGGAATGTCAGAAACCATTGGAGATACCACAGTTAAAACTTACTGTCTATTCTAAGCACAATGTTCATCTACATAAAAGATTAGTTTGGCCAGATCATATGATCCTTGTAATTCTAGGTGCTGAGATGTGATTCCAGCATGATCCAAGCTAAAACAAGTTTCTCCTAGGATCAGCAAAGTTCCATCCTCCAAACTTAACAGGATCATGATTTTGACAACCATGTGTATAGGTAAAAAGACCATAGCTTTAAACCCAATCCCTTAACAAATCTATAAGAAAGTGCTAGAATCCAATGGCAAGGTATGGGACTTGTGTCCCACATTAGAAGTATGGGTTTTAGTGTGGGATTTTATGATATTGGGTTCTCCAACTACACCGGCTAGTTTTCATGGTATGGTTCTCCCAAGATTCTTATTAATTGGTGTCGGTGTTTTTTACCATATCTCTTAGTTGAACATCCAATGCACATGGTGATGTCGACATTGCAGTGTTTGTTAGGCACTAGTCAAAGGCTCCAGGGCTACGGTACACAGTGAAAGGTTAGGATCCAATTACAAGGCATGAAACTTGAGTCCCACATATGAAGTATGGCATTCTAGTATGGGACTTATAAGGTCTTGGGCCTCTCCAATTACAACAATTTTTTGTGGTGTGGTTCCCCCAAGATTATTACTAGAAAGCTTCATTTTCAAAAATTAAGGAAACTATTTTGGAAAACAGTTTACCTCTTCAGCAACTTTAGGTAAAAGTTGCAGCCATTTTTCCTCAAATTTTGCCAGCAAGGTCTTTGCCATAACATGGACATCATTTTTGTCACTGTTGTATTTCATTGCATTCTTGAATATCAACCTTACATCTGCGTATATCTCCCGGACATTATTATATCCTGTGCCATCCTTAGCTTCCATTTTATTTTTTATTGTACTGAAATCCATGGGCTTATCAATAACCTAGGGCAGAAAATTAAACAAATTATTTTCGGATATATAATCAAAGACAATCAGCAAAAAGTAACTGCTATAAAAGATTGATGATCAACTAGTGAAACCAGTGCTACAACTTGCTGAACACAGACTAAGCCAATATTTAAACCCTTTTCCAATAAAGCTTGCTCAAGCATATTTGGTTGTAGGCAGGACAAAAGATTTCATATATCAATTATGTAAAAAGATAACTATAGTGTAGACCAAGAGAAAAGCTTTAAAATGAAGAAAAGGCATTACCTCATAATAGTCATGAAGCCCAAGACCTTCTACATCTACAGGATCCAGGAATGGCCAAGCCCATTTATGCTGAGTTATCTGCAAAACATCAAGATGTATCACTACTGATTTTTCAAAGGAAACTTGGTAGGGTCAATATATTCAACAGAGGAAAGGGAAATCATTTGACCATCATTCAACATGCTACCCTCCATTCTCTCTAAAGCTTTAAACAATAAAAAATAAATTGAGCTTTTTTGAATGTCTTCACAATAAAAATTGAGTACATAATATCCACATTTTCATACTAGTTTTTATTTTAAATCGAAAAATGGAGAATTTAAACAATGAATTAGTCATAGTTAAGGGATTGAGAATTTGCATTTCAAAGATCTTGTGTTCTGGTGTTTCCGGTAGCTGCTGTTATTTGGTTTGTTATTCACTATGTATTTACTTATTCATTACTCTGGTAGTGTTTGAAGTTCCTTTTGACTTGATGAAGGAGAATTTGCATTTCATAGATCTTGCTTCGAGTTATTTTAAGTTCAAGCATTATGAGCTTATCCCATTATCATGTTTTAAATTGGCATGGTCAGACAATGTTGCTTTATTTGTTTTATGATGAATGTTAAATATAGATTATGGACACGGCAACAAATTATGTCAGGTACTATATGATGATTACTGTCGTAGAAAGGGTAAACTTGTGGGTGGAGCCAAAATAAGATAAATGAAAGCAACAACAAAGCCTTGGGTCAGATACATGAATCAATCAAATGTATTGCACTCAATCAAAAGCCAAGTGTTCAACAGCAAGAAAACCATTTAGAGTCGAGATAACCCTGATAATCTTGAGTTCTACATTTGAGTGTGTGGTTCACTTTTTTTTCCCTATTTGAACCAGGATTGAGGATACGACCAAGTTTGAGTGAACCACAGCCAAAAGGAGTACAATTCCAGGTAAAATTCAGCATCTTGGAGATTCTAAACAACTCCTGGAGATTTTACATGGCCATGTCAAATGTGCTAATAGCTTATGGTGTAGTAACATGATCATGAAAAATGTTACAGCCACTTCTAGCAGAGAGACATGACAATGTAAAATGTCAACATCAATTATGGAAGTTTTTCATGACAATGCCTTTGATGATGCACCAAAATTTGAATTTTTGGCCCAACTCAAATAAAAAGGGACTAAGCCATCATTTGGCCAACTTTAACCTAATTTCAATACTTTTCTACAGAAGACAGTGAAGTAACTCCAGGATAGATTCATAGAGACATAGGATTGAAGATCATTGGGATTCTTTCGGCTTCCCTTCTCTGTCTACTTGGTTTTTTAGGATTTCTTTTGGGATATTAGTCTTTTTTTCCTTTCAATTCCTTTTTCATTGTGTGTAAGGTCTACCATTTGGGCTCTGGCAAACCTTGCACCTTGATTGTGGCATTTCTTGATTTCAATACAATCTGTCTTTCCCTTGCAATTGGATTTGTTTTGGCATGTCAATTATGTATTAGAATCTACCCAAGTTTGATATGCTTTCCGCATAGATATCTACCCTGGACAGTGGCATGTAGCAACCAGCCCCAAAACCACCATTAGTTGACCGATATTTTAAGGAGCATAAATACAGGGTAAAAATCTTATACTATACATATATAAATATTTAAAATAAATAATTGCCCAAAATTAAAATATTCATAATTCACAATGAGAATTCAAAGTCTTGAGCTAAACTCATGAGTGAACAACAGAAGTCAAGGAACATCTAAAAAAAAAAAAAAAAGACATCAGAATAGTCTTCTCCAAAATTTAAAATTATAATAAAAAACACACTAGGGGAAACATGAGACTTCTCTAGAAATAAAAATAACGTAACACATGAGACTATGTATTTCTCTTAACTCCACACAAAAAATACAGGAGAGATATGCTGGGAAAAAAAAAAAGTGACCTCTAGGAATAGAGAGGACATGAACAGTGGAGAGACCAGAGGAGAATTATGCTTTGATGCATTCAGTTTTGGCCAGAACAATTTTGCAGTGCTGTGGGTTGGCCAGAAATACCAAATCTGTGTAGTGACTAAAAAGGGAGAAGATCAGCAGTTATCATGTTCTGTGATCTCTGATCTCAAAAATACATGTGACAGAAAGGTACGCTTGGTCTCTAATCAGACAGGTGTACAACTTTTTTAGGTAAAACGTGGTGAACTTGTAAAAATACCTCCAAAAGTGGCAGATAATACAGGTGGATAAATACGGGATTTTAACCCTTTGAAGATTGGTGACCCCAAGGGCTATGATTTGCTGGGATAACACCACAATTTGTGGATGCAACTTCACTCCTTCAAAACACTTGGCAACAGTGAACAAGAGCGCAGCATGAGGCCACTAGCAGCACTATAGCACGCTATTGACCACTATGGCTTTCAATTGACTCCTTGATTGCAATTGTCGCTTCCAATTAGTTATTATTACATTAACAAATCCCTCAGCTCTTTATGCTTTCTTTATCTAGTTCCATAACTGACCAAATAGGGGATTTGATTAGGGAAAAGGTTGGTAATGACACTTGATTATTAATCATTAATAGACTAAAAGAGGTAATTGGATTTTCAAAGGAAATTGAGTAATTGTAGAGAAAGAGGGAGTTAAACAAATAAGTGCAAGTAAACTTAATCCCTATACCTATCCATAATTGATTCTCATGTGTATATTGTGAATTTAATCCTAGGTTTACTCAATTTGACTACTTTTAGCACAATTCCGTTAACCTTGTGTTCGATTATTTAGACAGCATAAGATTCTCGTGGAACCAATAATTGCAACTTGTGGATTTGTTATAGTAGGAGGTATCAGAACAGCAAGCACCATGATAAGTGTAAATTTAGTCTAGGACATTTGTATGAATCATAATACAAGCCCCATCCAGCCAACAAGTATAACTACAACTAATTAACAATATTTGATAATAAAAAGTGATTGCCCATGGGAGAAGGGAAATATAATTTGATAATAAAATGTGATTGCCCATGGGAAAAGGGAAATAAAAGGGCAATGCCTCTTAGCCACTTACTCCACAACCAAATCTTTTCCCAGAGGATGGGGTCAGATACATGGATCAAATGGAACTATAATGTTCAATCGAAAACTTAGATGTTTAGTGTTCAAAGGTGATAGAAAATAGAGGTGGTGACAGTAAAAATAGGATTATGAGTTCCTGCATGAGTTCAAATTTTGAGATATTGAAAATGTTCAATACATTTTGAAAGGTAATCTCAAAACAGAATTACCTTTTTGGCAGATCATTAACTCAAATACATAAAACATTTTCTAACAGACAACTACAGATACCTCAAGATCAATTATTTAAAAAATGAAATTCAAATATAAGGATTAAGGAGACTCATGAGTCAGGAGAAAGTATATTCATATAGATCATTAAAAAAAAAAAGTTGCAAAGTATTCACACTTGCCTGACGTAATATTGTGGAAAATTGACGCATGAGCTCTTGCATTCTCTTTGCAGCAGCAGCTTCGGTATGTGATGCATCTTGCAGTGGCTTTTTGGTGCCAATAAGATGCTTCTCCTTGCCCTTTTCTTTCACAAGTGAGCCACCTTTAGAATTATTACCTTGAATATTATCAGTGGATTCATAGAACTGTTCAACCTCAGTCACTTGATTCTCAAGCTGTAAACAAGGCACTATAAGATTATTTTTCAACTTGGAATTTCACAGCACAAAACTAGCAATAAGTCCATAATTCCATGCTAGCAAATTTACACTTATCATCAAACATTTAAAATTAAACAGTTTAGAGTCTTTAGACCATCAAACATTGATAAAATTAAAATTTACTTATCCTTTAACTTACACATCAGCTAAATAGTAATAAAAGTATCATGCAGTGAAAAAACAAGAACAGCAGCTTCATGAATTTATGATTAGGAGTAAGAAAAAGTGCAGCAAGAACAAAGCTATGGATTTATTTCTAGGGTATCAAAAAATTTAGATCTGGAAATATATTGTATAACAGATGAAAACAAAATCATAATTCAAACTAGGTTAAATGGTTTTGGTCATTACTAAACCAGACCCCAAAATAATTGGGGCGGGGGGAAGGAATCCCATCAAATTAAGGCCACTGCAACTGGTCATTAAAAGGCTACTAGTCATTTGAAACTTAATTTAATAAAAATCACATTAAAATCACACCAAAAGGGAAACAAGAAACTTCCTCATAAAAAGAAGAGAGTAAAGTTGGTAAATATTCCCAAAAAATAGAGCATATTTCCGCTTCCCCCACCCCCCGTAATCATTGAATGACCCAACTATTTTTAATTTATTTAAGATGGTTTATATTTTTTTCTCTCTTAATGGAAGAGAATTTCATCAGGAATGTGTTTCCAATTCAATGGATGCTTTATAACATGATGATAATATATATATATAGTACCATATACATCTTACATCATATATTTTTTTTCATGAGAAATGTCAGGAACTGACTCTTTAACTCGCTCTTTGGAATATTCTATCTCTCATTGGTTGAAATTTATTAAAAATTACTAAATTTGGTGGATCTCATACTCTATTTAATAAATCTCACTCATGATTTTGTATTTTTCAATAAATTTTAACCAATAAAAAAGTGTTTTACTACCACTATTCCTTTTTCATAGGAATATCTGACAAATAATGTTCAAGAGAAATTGTATTTTATGTACACACGCCCTATCTTATTTACAGTAGGAGTGCATCTGTAGAGGAGATAATTGAGGACTGTGTATACAACTATAGTTAATTAATATTTTAACAAATGCTAGTGAATCTAGGCCACTATAACAACTTTAACAAGGTTAACTTTGAGCCCTAAATCAACTCAGAAATCTCCAACATTTCAGAGGACCAAACCATCACTTCCTTTTCCATTAATAAACTTGCAATCATACGCAGGGGCAGAGGGAACGGGGTGACTCACTGGTGCCATGGTCACCTCCATGTTTTTAACCTCTCTTAATATTAATATCTAAAATAAATAAAAAATAAAAAATAAAATAAAATAAAATAAAAACTATGCTAACCCCTATGTTATTAATTTTTGTACATTTGGATGGTAAATATTTGCATGTGCCTGGCAGTGCTCACACAAAAAGTCTTCCTTATAATTTTTAACTTTTTTTGTTGACATCCTTCTCATGTAATTTTCATTATTTATGTTAACTTTTTTGCATTTGCAGTACCCTTCTCTCTCTAATCTTCATTGAGAGAATTACACAGCACCATATATCTAAATCCCTATGTTGTTTGCCATTCACGGTTCCTTCCTTCCCAGAAGAAGAATCAAACTCACTTTTGATTTCTTGGTTGCTTCACTAGACCCACCCTCCATTAGTTGAATCGAGTAATTTTACTTTATTAAACAAGTTTATGCATACCATATTAGTTATATGTCAAATTTGTTGCACAAATTAGGTTAAACTACTACATAAATTATGCAAGTGATAGATAAAATTTCCTTTACTTATAAAGTCACAAGCACCCTTGAACTATAATTCCAGCCCCTCCCCTAATTGTAAATTACTACAACTAAGAACACAAGAAACAACAAGAACAATAACAGTGACATAAAGCAAACGCCGATTTATTAATTAAATTTCTAGGGTAAGCTAATTCATACAAAGAATCCGAGTTCAACTAATTAAAACACTGTTGCTGCTAAACTAACTTGAGCTTTGAAAATGAGTATAACAAGCATGATAGTGATGGAAGAAGTGTTGGGAGAAGGAATTGAGCAATGAGAACCTTGTTGACTCTAGTGAGAATTTGTTGAACAGAAACCCTGAAAGGTTCCAAATAATCATCAGGCTGAGCAGAATCCGCGTCCATCACAACTCAATTTGCCTTGAGTATTGCGCTTCGATAGTCTCTTTAAATACCACCGTTGTGTTGCCTTTGGTTTCGGGTCTCTGATGCTTGCGCTGCATTTAATATGTCCATTAAGTTAATTTACACTTCTGTTTAATAACTAATCAGTGTAAAACGTGTTGGTTTTTAATTTTTTTTATTCACTAATGTTACTTGGTATTTAATGCTTTTTTTTTTGTCTGTGTGACTTTTTTTTTTAACTGTGAATTTTTATAAGTTTTAGGATTTAGTGTTTATAAGATATATATTTTTTAATTGTGAATTGTGTTAATTATATTGATTTTAAAATATATTTATTTAATTAATAATTTTTTTGAAAAAAGAGAATAAAATTTTACAATTAGTTAGATAATAATTTGGATTAAATATATTTTTGGTCTTCTAAAATTTAATTCTATTTGATTTTAGTCCCTAATAAATTTTTGATTTTAGTCTTTTAAATTTATATAATATTTTTTTAAAATATCATTAATTTTTGTTGTTAAAATAGGTCAGTTCAGTATTTAAATTATCGTTAATTTTACTAAAATGAAATTTTTTAATTTTAAAATATTATGATTAAGTTAAGATTTATAGTAAAAATTAATTTGACACTTAAAATTTTTGACTATTTACTCTTGAACCTAAAGATAGAAGTTTTAGAAGTGTTCTATTTTATTTTTTATTTTTTTTATTTTGTTTTTACTCTCAACGAGAAAGTCAAGGGTCTCTTGTTTTGTAAAGGCAATACCTTAAAGCGCTTGGGAAGGGAGAAGAATGGGTATTGTTTAGAGTAATTAGCATATTGAGGTTTAGAGTGAAACAATGTCACCAGAAATTAGAAATTAAAAATTTAGATGTTTGTTAACAAAGACGTGAAAATGAATGTTTATGGATATAGTGGATAGTGGAGAAAAAAAAATCTTATTTTAAATTTGTGAAAGGATTTTATTAAAGTTTGGTGGGAGACTCTTTGTTTAAATAAAAAAATTACTAGAAAATTTATTGTGATTTGGATATTAAAGTGACCTATTTTAACGGTAAAAGTTAATATTATATAAAAATGATTAAAAATATGTATTATATAAACTTGGAGGACTAAAATCAAGCAAAATATTTTTGAGAGACTAAAATAAAAAAGAGTCAAAAAGGACTAAAATCATATTTAATTCTAAAAAAAAAACTCTTTTATTAAGATTAGAGAAAATAAATAGATACATAAATATCTCTCTTCCAAATATTAATTAATTAGGTGAAAAATGATTGAATGGAAAGAAAGAAGATTAATTTAAGGGATGTTAAATGTAATTTTGGAAAAAAGTTTAAATTATTAACAAATTTAGTATTGTTAACTAAATTAATTAATTTTCTTAAATAGTGTAATTTAATTGAAAGAATCTTATAATCAGATATGAAACTGGTGATTTTTTTTGTTTAACTAAATTAAATAATTTTTTTCGATACTCACAATTCACTAAAGGAACTAAAATGTGATAAGTAGCTTCCTTGATCAAATAAGAAGTGACAATTTGATGAAACGTAATTAATGGAAGCATTTAATGCACAAATAGACATTTCCCTCTAAAAGGAATGGTGTTGAAGATAGACAAAATAAGCCTATGAGAAATGCTCAAGGATTTACAACGATCATCTTTACAAAACAACTATATAAAGAAACTAGAAGTTTTAGAAAGAAAAGAGAACATTAGTTCATTGTAAAAATACACTCATTCTTTTTGTAACAATCATTGAACTTAATAGGTTGTATCACATTATGATAATAAGATAAAATAACATTGTTATCTTATTCAAATTTAACTTAGTATTATTGTTTTGAATGTAAAGAGGCTTAACTATAAAAGAATACTTAATTGTTTGAAGTTGAAAAAGACTTTGCATTAAAATAATACTTGAATAGTTGCTTAAAGAGACAAGTTAAAGAACACTTAGGTTAAGCCAAAAATGGTTTGTGAAAGAATACTTGTATCTTTGTAAAAGATAGTGGAACTTATCTAATTAATCAAGAATTGGACGTAGTTTCAATAATTAATAAGAATCACTATAAAAATATTGTGTATTTTTTTACTTATCTCTTCGTCTGTACGCTTACAATCATGTTACTAATTTGTTGTTTCAAAAAGTATTGAATTTTTTAGTGATTTTATTCAACTCCTTCAAGTGTCTCTACTTTCTCCATAATAAGAATTTAAAATTCTTCATATTTTATTTTCTCTTATCACTTATATATATTTTATCTCTCTTTATTATAAAAAAGTATCAATAGCTTTTTTTTTGTAAAATTATTGAATATTCAATTTTAAAAATTTATTAAAAATGTTTTTTTTAATAAAATTATTCAATATTTAAAAATCGGTTACTATTTATTTTATAAAGTTTAATTTTAAATTTTGAATATATTTATTTATTTAAAACCAAATTCTTTTTTCTACGGTTTAAATTAAATTGACTTATCTAAATTAAAAATTCAAAAATTTAAAAATTTAAATTGATTTATCCAAACAAAATATTTAATAAATAATAGAGATTGAAATCAAAATAATTTACATTCTAAGAACTTCAAATTTCTTGAATTTTTAAAATACCCATCCAAACACAACCAATGTTCTTTTTCTCTTTTCCTCAATCCACACTCATCTTAGATGAAAGCTTGTTTGCAAACTTATTACTATTCATTTGTAAAAAAAAAAAAAAAAAAACTTTTAAAACTTACATACAAACATTCAATCCCTATCTGAGCGTTTCTTGTTTTTTTAATGATATTTTAGGAGTCAAATATTTTGAACATTTTTTATTTAAAATTAATTATTTGCTAATGTCATTAGACTTCTCGATAAGATTTATATACACCAAAAATCCAGCTGACTTTGTTATTGATATAGTCAATCTCAATAATTAACATGATGTGATACAATTGTTTGATAACTTTCTTCCTTAAAAATATGAACAAGGGTTCATTTTTCATAATTGTATGTTTGAAAAAATATGTTGGGAGAATTCGATCTTTTAAATAAATTTTAATAGTTTAATATAATATTTTTTTTGAGTCAACGCCAAATATCACCTTGAATTAAAAGAAGAAAACTCAATCTCAATAAGAATATGAAAAACAATTGAGTGATAAATGAAAATGCATTACATTTACATCCATATTGGATGTATAAGGAAGAAAACATGAAAGTTAATAAAATTTTCTGGTCGATGTTATTTTTATTATTATTTTTAATTACTATTGTGATAATAATAAACAAGATAAAATAAATTGACATTAAATGCCTAATTTTTTAAAACTATATTTTTAATAACATTATAAAAAAAAGTTAAATTTATTATTTTGATCATACGATATTATCACAATTATATCTATCATTTCAAATATTTGTAAAGTTCTAATTTAATAATAATTTTTATATTTTAAAAACATATTATATATCGAAATAAAGTGACATAGTAATCCCAAGCGTGTGGTTCAGCGGTAGGGGTTGATCCACGCTTAAGCAAGGTCAGGAGTTCGAATTTTACCTTGTGTATGCAGCCGCGTTAAATCTTGGGGCCAGCTATCCCAGGTGCCTCCAACGTAGCGAGGAGATTAGTCACCGCTGTCAGCGGTAAATACTCCAGGGACGAAAAAAATAAAATAAAGTGACATAGTTAAATATTAATAATTTCTTAAAGTATCATGTTAATCAATGTTCTTAGGACATGACACGGGCCAAAAAAACAAAATCGGCGAGTAACTTTCTTTATATGTTGGAATTGTATGCAAAATAATGCGAAAATATAGTCTTATTCTTTTAAAAAAATATACTTTTTGATTTTTTATTCTCTAACCGGTAATCTCAAAACATCGCTTAATATTTGTTTGTTTAAATTCTTTCTCGACATAAGCTAACATAATAATGCATAAAAGTGTTTTCTAATCATTATTTTTAGTTGTTTTTGTATTTAAAAATTCTTTGTAATATCTTATCTCTTTTTATTGATTATTTTATTTAATTTTAATATTTCAGTAATTAAATAAATATTTATTAAAAAATAAAATTTATATAATAAAAATATTTATTTATCATAAATTTTAATTATATAAAATAAAAATTATATTATGTACATCTATACCATTATATGAAAGAAATAATTCTTTCAATAACTACTTTACTCTCTATTTTTATATAGATCATTTTACCTTATTTTATTGTACTCATAAATTCAAGTTTTTTTTAATGTCATATCTCAATTTTCTTATCTTCTATAAATAACTACTCTTACATGATTTATTTTTTATTTGTTTAAAAAAATAGAAAGACTTGAATCGCCTATTTTTCTTTAATACTAAGATGATAGGTATATACGAACACGTCATTAGTTTAAGTGATACTAAATTTAATTTTTTTAAGCAAAATTTTAAATTTAAATCCTTTGCATGAAGAAATATTGCTGGAGAGAAAATTCTACTAAAGATGAATAGTTAAATTTTTGGACAATGATTAATTATAGACAAAGTCAATAATACTAAAATTAAAAAAAAATAGATATATAAATTTTTACCATAAAATAATAGATATATAAATATTTACCATTGATTTGTGAGAGAGTAAAAGCAATGTGGTGGTGATAACACATGTAATGTAATGTAAGGAAAGTAACTTCAACTATATAGTTTAGTGGTAGGGGTTTGGGTCGTACTTTATGTATGTAGTTGCCGTTAAATCTTAGGGTCAAGTATCCTATCCTTTGAGTGTCTCCAACGTATCCAGAATAATTCCTAAGAAAAAAAAAAAATGTAAGGAAAGATGAGTTTGGTTGGCAGCACTTGATGGACCTACTTGGTATGAGCGAGTGCCACAACCAGGAAAACAGAAAACATGATAGGATAGAAGCCAGCAAGGGAGAGTAGCAATGGCATGCTCACTCACACTGCCAACACCTCCTTCTCTTTCTTCTTCTTCTTCTTCTTCTTCTTCTAATCTTCCCACCTTCCACCGCCACACCCACTCTCTCTTTTGCAGCGGAGCAGCGTTCACGCGCCTCCGCCATCGCCGAGCCTCGAACTCCCTCTCGCTTGTTCCCTCTGCGGGGAAAGAAGACACTGACCTTCGTGTCTCTTCTATTCAGGAGCAGCAACGCGACGATGATGAACCAACCCCCGAGGACCTTCAATACGTCGACCAAATCAAAAAGGTATCTCTGTTTTTATTTTCCTAAATTTGGTTGTTTCTTTTGTTGTTTTTCCGTTTTCCTATTGCATTTCCGTGCTCACCTGTAGGTTTTGGAGCTTCTCAGGAAAAACCGGGACATGCTCTTCGGCGAGGTACTTTTATTTATTTATTTTTAATTTTTGCTTTACTAATCAATATTGTGTTTGTTGATGATGGTAATCATCGTACTTTACGAGACGTTGTGATAGTGTACAGGAACAGTGATATTTGTTAAGTGTAAAAAGTTGGAGTGAAAATAAACGTGTGTATACTGTATAGTGCTTGTTCTTAAGACATGTACTGAGGTTGTGATGATTTCATTATCCTTATTTTTTCTTTCTAAGCTTAATTCTAGAAGGAATATAGAAAAGTGAAAGGTGGTAATTTGGGATGTTTGAGTAAATGAACTAACTAAGAGTTGAATTGTCGTGTGGCCATTTGTCTCTTAAGAAATCATCTGTGATGGAGGAGCAGAAATATGAAGTGTGCGCGAGTTTTTTTTTTTTTTGGGTGGGGGGAGGGGAGGCCGAAAGATATACAATATGATTTTATAAATAAGCTTAATTTTTTTACTTATAGGCCCTAATATTGCTTGCTACGCCACTACATTTCACAATCATATTGTCTTTGCCTATGAAGATCATCCAGTGATTCTTTCTTTATCCTACTTTCAGGTCAAATTAACTATAATGATTGAGGACCCCAGAGAAGTGGAAAGAAGAAGATTACTTGGTATTGAATATTCTGAAGGACCTACAAGAGATGATCTAGTTGATGCTTTGGATGAAGTAAGTATTTCTTCTATAATCATGATTGTTAAAATTGTGCTTTAATGATCAAAAGCTTCAGAGTTTATACAAAATCTTGTTTGGACTGGACATCGGGTTGTTCTTTAGGGGACAAATATCTGGCTTTTGAAAGACTATTAGGATCCAACTTGTTGAGAGTTAAGTATATAATGTATTATGCCCGTGGTTAGTATGTGGAGGGTACTATATATACTATAATAGTATATTGTATTGCTAGCCCAATTTACTAAATATAAGTACCATTTAGTAGCCTTCAATTTTTTTTCTTCTTCTTTTCCTTTACCCTTTCAGCATGCAGACATATACACAAATAAAACCTTTACAAACACATGATCTAGGTCATGATCTTATTTGATTTGGTCACTTTAGTGATTTTCTGGTTTGTGTAGTGACCCCTGTACATTGCTTATGGGGGTCATTAATATTATATTACAGTGACATGTCCAGACATTTCTTTCCCAATAAGTATAGTTATTCAGTTTATGTCATCTCTGTGAGGTTCTCATGGGATGCAGTGTGCACACATCTTAAAGTATTTGAAAGGAACTCCAGGTCATGGGATTCTTTATAAAGACAATGGGCACAACAGTGTATGCTGTTGGAATATGAAACTGGGCTGGGTGTTCTATAAATTTAAAATCAACCATCGATTATTATGTTTCACTGAAGGAAATTTGATATCTAGGTAAAGTAACAAACAAGTTTGAAAATTAAGTCCAAGTGCAAAGTTTGAATGTTCAGGAGTGGTCATTGGGGAATGAGTGGTCCAAACTTTTGAGTTATTATAGGTGCATCTTTTACTCAGTGAGATTAGGTTCAGCGGCCCTCTGCAGTTGTGACCTTGGTGTGACAATCAAGCTTTCACCCACATTGCCTTGAACCTAGTTTTTCATGAATGAACATAACACATAGAAGTTGATTGCCATATTTAGGAAAAGATTCAGAAAGGGCTTGTATCCACTGGGATTGGAGAACAAATAGCCTATACCTTGGTTTCTTAAGTCAATTGCTGATTTCAGAAAAAGAATTGACTTTGCATTTATTAGGTCAATGAAGGAAAAATTCCAAAGAATAGAGCTGCTCTCCAGATGCTTGCTGAGGAATTGGCTGCATGGCCTAATCTGGAGGTATGAATTTGAATATTTTATAATCTCTGCTTCATCATGCATGATGTCTTGAACATGTTTGTGAGGTTGTTGATTGTTTTGTGTTTATAATTAATAGAGTTTGAACTTTACTCTATCCATTTCCTTGTGTTGTTTCGTGGATTTCTTTATATCTTCAATGACCTGTGTGAAATGGATGAAAACAGTAATTGTATCTTATAAGATAGATTTGAACTTTATTGCAACAAGAAGTTTTAAATATACTACCGTTGGTTCTATATTGCTTCACAAACTGTGTTACATAACCTAGACATCAATTTTAGTAGTTACCTTATTTAAGAGTCTTAGTTATTTTATGGAAATTTTGTCACTCATTCCTTTTTGGTAACACACAAACCATGTAGATGATAAAGTTTGTATTGTAGAATGTCATATAAATTCAAGACATAAATGGAGAATTCAGAAATGAGAGTTGAAAACTGTTGGAGATCACGTATCAACTAGCGATATAACCAAATTAAAGTATATAAGTAGGGAATAATCCTTATCTTACATGCCAGTTTTGTAAGGTTGAGTTTGACCCATAATCCACTTTCTTAATAAAGTCTAAGTGGAGTTAATGATGGTTTATACTTGAAAGCTTGTTTGAAGTCTGAACCCCAAACCTCACTTTTGTAACACCAAATTTTTTTTTCAGTCTTCTGCCTTGCATTGTTCTTGTTCTAGCCATTAAATTGCTCCAATTTGCTGCTACCCAAAATTCTATTATTGACATTGTCAACTCTGACAGGAACCTGTCCAGATTCATATGAGCTAATTTAGGAGAAATTAATCTGGAAAAGAAAAGTCAGATATGTTTAGAAAGTTCAGTATCTTTAAGGTTTTATTTCCTTATTTCTCTCCAGATTTGTAGGAGATATGTTTTTCTATTTATTTCCATATTTGTAGCAGAACTAGTCATCTGATTCTGCATGAAGTACCCTATGTACCATGCTTTTGTCAGAACAGTAACGAATAAAATATTTTCTCTAAACCTAGAAACATAGATATTGATTCTGTCACCATGTCAACTTAGAAACTTTAATCTTTTCATTGATAATCGAGTTCTCAAATTAATTTCATGTTTCTTAAAGTCTTAAACCTAAACCTTGAAATCTTTAACCTCAGATCCTTTAATCTAGAACAATGATTTTCTGCTGAATTAGATCACGTACTGTTAAGAATACGAGATTAATACTAATCTATTGTCAATCGGAAATTCTTTCCACCATCATTGAATTTTGTGCTAACACATCACAATGAGTTTCACATTTTCAAGTAGTTATTTTAATGATCAAACTCATTTTCAACTATTTAACAATGTGTCAATCAATATTTATGATGTGATGATTCTATGAAAAACTGTTGCACTAACCATGGATCAAAATCAAACATATAAAATATATTGGAAGAGTAAGATATATTTATTAGACTTAAATATAGTTTTAGTCTCTTAAATTTAAGGTAAATTTGTTTTTGATTCCTCAAACATAAAATTGATTTTTTCAATTCATGTAATTTCAAAAGATTGTTTTAATCCCCTAGGACTACCTGTAGCACCACTGGTTGAGACAAATTGAGTCACTTGTTCAATATCAACTTAGTTTAATGTAATGTTTTCACTAAAAATAGCACTAGTAAGGGGATTTTATTGGACAAATTTAATAATAGGTGAGTTTTGTTTGACAAATTCTCTAACTACATCTGAACAAAGGGACTGAAGTATATAATATATATATATTGCTTTCAAATTACTGGGACTAAAAAACACAATTTTAAATTTGAGAGGCAAAAAATAAATTTATTTTGTATTTGAGAGATTAAAAACATATTTAAGTCTATTTATTATTTAGAAATTAGAATAGTCATTGTGTTGTGGCTACTATATTCAAAAGTTTTGTCTTACACATTTTTTCTTCCGTTAATTTGAAGGTCCATGACATAATATCCAATTATTTAGAACAAAACCTAAACTATTTGTTTCAAATTCAATCATTGAATTGTTTTGCATCCCTTAAACACTCTAAGTCAAGGGGAGTAACAATGTTACTGGTTTATGTGGATGATATTATAGTGACAGGTGATGATGAGGAAGAGCAACGATTGTTAGGCCAACATCTAGCCAAGGAATTCGAAATTAAGACCTTGGGAAAATTGAAGTATTTTTTGGGAATTGAAGTGGCCCATTCTAAAAAGGGAATATTCATATCTTAACAGAAATACATCACTGATTTGTTGAAAGAGACTGGTAAGATAGCATGCAAGCTTGCAAGTACACAAATTGACCCAAACCTAAAATTGGGAAACGCAGAAGAAGATACTGCAGTTGACAAGGAAGTGTATCAAAGGCTAGTTGGTAGACTAATATATTTATCTCACACTAGAACTGATGTTGCATTTGCCGTGAGTCTAGTCAGCTAGTTCATGCACCAGCCGAAGGGGGTTCACTTACAAGCTGCACTAAGAATTGTGCAGTATTTGAAAGGGACCCCAGGCAGGGGACTTTTCTTCAAACAGGCAGGGGAATTTTATTCAAACGAAATAGGAATGTAAATCTGGAAGCATATACAGATGCAGACTATGCAGGGTCAATTGTGGATAGGAGGTCAACTACGGGATATTGCACTTTCCTTGGAGGGAATCTTGTGACTTGGAAGAGTAAAAAACAGAGTGTGGTAGCCAGATCCAGTGCTGAAGCAGAGTTCAGGGCAATGGCACAAGGGATATGTGAACTACTCTGGCTGAAGATTATCTTGGAAGACCTAAGGATAAAATCGGATGAACCAATGAGACTTTATTGTGATAACAAATCTGCTATTAGCATAGCTCATAATCCGGTGCAACATGATAGAACCAAACATATTGAAGTTGACAGACATTTTATCAAAGAAAAATTAGATAGTGGTCTGATATGCACTCCATATGTCTCCTCACAAGACAACCTTGCAGATATTCTAACAAAGGGGCTGAACAGCAACATCTTTGAGAAGATTGTTTCCAAGCTGGGAATGGAGAATACCTATTCACCAGCTTGAGGGGGAGTGTTAGAATCTGTTTTATTAGAATCTGTTTTATTAGCTGTGATAAGATATTCTAAGATATAGTTTAGATATATTAGTTTATCTTTTCCTAATTTATAGTTTATCTTAATCCCTAAACTTTAGGGATTGTTTCTGTTTCTTGTTTATTTATTTGATTGTACCCATCAAATTCAGAATAATAAGAAAAATTATTCTACTCTAAATTTTAAGAGTAATCCTAGAATGGTCTTCTACCATAATACTTGGCTGCTAGTGGGATGTTGGTTTCTTTAAGTTTTGTAAAGTTTGTTTTAAGGTTCTCGGATATATTGCTAACAAAATATGCCTTGTAGATTATTAATAACCAGGAAAATTTGGAAAGTAAGGTGGGTTACAAAATGTTGACCGACAAGAATGTTAAATTCAAGATCTTATGTAAAACAAGTGGAAATGGGTTGTTCAACTGTCTTGAGGCAACTAATTAGCTATTATCTTAGTTTTTTATATTTTGGGGGACCCAACAGATTAGGCCAATCTATTGGACGTGTGGAAAAAAGAACTGTTGTTTAATCCATTCCGAGTGGAAGTGCCAGGTTTCAGTTATTTTCAAACTTTGGTAAAGTGATATATTGCTGAAACTCTCACCTTCTTTGATGTCTAAAACCCCATAGTCTAGGCCCGTCTATAACGCTATTAGTCCAAGAGAAGCATTTTGAAATGAACTAAAAAATGAATTTATACAACAACAATGCATTTTTTGATTAGGTAGAGCTGGCTATAGATTAAACGATACGAATTATTTGTCATAAACTAAGTCCTAAAAAATGTAATTTAGATCTTATTCAATGTTTTTAGCCACTACCTCTAAATTTTGAGTTATCCTCCATTTGGTCAACCCTTTTGTTGGGCATCTCTTGGTTCTCACATGACCAAACCACTTCATTGGAAGTAGAGAATTGAATGTATTTATCTCCATGTTAATGTTAATTACTATTGTTTTATTTTATGAAATTTTAATTGCATGTTTGCACTATCCTTTGCCAAGGCTGAGAGCGTTTGTGCTTGCTTTTTTTTACTCTGTTCCTAAAAAAGGTCAATTGCCATGAAATTTGCAAAAATTATTTTGGTTAGTAAACAAATGCTCTCTGGAAATCTTGCTGCTTCTCTTTTATATGTTTGACATATTTTAATTTTATGAAACTTTAAAGTTTGTCACTTTTTCCTGAACCAATTGTTTATTACCTTTCATTCATTTCTTCTGATATAATGTGCAATTGTATTAGTATCATCAGATGAATGCATTTGCTGATTATGATGATACTTTTCTTTGAAAATGAACATTCTATTAATTACTGATTTCTCTTATTTTTTACTTTTAAAATTGGTTAGGAAGAAGTGTCGAAGAAAAAACCCAGAAAATCTCTCTATGCAAAGGCCACTGACACAGGAATCGATCCTGAAGTGGCTGCAAAGAAACTGAACATTGATTGGGATTCTGCTGCTGAAATTGAAGAGACAAATGCTGACGATGATACAGAAGTGCCTCCAGTTGTGGTCAGTTCCTAACCTTCCTTAGAGATTCTTTTGTTTTGCTTTTTTGGTTTGGTTAGCCACCATGACTATCACTATTTGAATTATGATTCCAAATTGTAATAAAGGAATTTGGTGCAATTGCATCCATAAACTTGCATGAAATCTCCAGATTATTTGTATTGTGTGCCTCCGCATTTTTTTTTTGTGTAGAAACAATACAAGATATTGTTTGCGCTGGAATTACATGATTTAAAGCACATGCGTAGTTAGTTATATTTAAAGCACGTTAATATTGATTACTACTAGCTATTACTCATCATGCATGTGCTGATTTGCTCCTCTTGTAACTTTGTAAAAAGATCTAGTTATGGGGGTTGATTGTACTTAGTGTTTCACATCAAACTATTCTAATTCTATGTTGTATTAGTGGTTTAATGATTCACATAAAATGGATTCCAATGTCAAACTTGGGTCAGGAGAAGCCTGTAACAGACCGTTGGAGATTTGAACATCTATATTTTTACTGTGATACTGATACACATTATTAGTCTATTTGCTAAGGGTTTGGAACAAAATAAGGAGTTTTTATAATTATTCTTTAAGTACTTTTCGCTCTCTTTTGGAGATATTTATCATTATTATTATTATTATTATTATTATTATTATTATTATTATTATTATTAATGGTTAAGCCTTTGAGCATTCAACTGAAGATGTTCTTCCTACTGCAGGGCTATGGAGCTTTATACTTGGTTTCGGCTTTCCCAATTATTATAGGTATTTCAGTAGTTCTAATTTTGTTTTATAATTCCCTCCAGTAGGAGCTGGTATTCCCCTCAAATTCAGTGTATAATATTACACTATATTGAAATGAGTTAGTATATCGCAATGTTCACCTAACATCGTCACAAGCTTGTTAGCCTAATTGTATTACATAATCCATCTTTTTGAGGAAAGGTGCCCACGAAAGAAAAGCCAATGCTTGCCCCTATAAGTGGTGGTTTATTTTTCCCACTCAATAAATGTATGTTGATCTAATTATTCCCAATGGTTAACCCTAGGTTCTTTGTATGCGTCCAAGACTTATCCATGGTTTCTTTCTTCCTTTCTTTTATTTTCCCCCCGGAAGAAATGCTACCACGTTTCAGGTTTCGTTTGTGATTTACTCGTGTCTCATTCTCGTTTGTATCATGTCGTGCACACGCTGATTATATATGATTTAAAGGTAAAAGTGGCGATTGACTCATATCCGTGACATCTTATAGTGTGTTTGGATGGAAAATTTAAATGGAGTAATTTATTTATTTGAAAAATTTTAAATTTTTTGGGGGTGAAATACCTTGTTTGGATGGAGAATTTATGAAATTTCTTGAAATAGTAAGATTTCAAATTCTTCCAAAAAAGTAAGAATTTAAAATTTTTTATATTTTTTTATTTCACTTATATATTTTATTTTATCACTTATTTCTTCATGTTTTTAATTATTAAATATTTAAAATTATTAAATATTATATAATATTAATTGTTAAAATTATTAAATATTTAAAAATTAGCTAATATTTATTTTTATAAAATTTAATTTAAAAATTTTAACATATAAATATATTTTTAAAATCAATTTTACCATGATAGAATCAATTATCATATCCAACGTATTAATTTAAAATAAGAAAATTGAATTGACTTATCTAAACAAAATATTTTAAGAATTATAGAAATTGAAATTAAAGTAATCAAATACTAAAAATTTAAAATTTCTTGAATTTTGAAAATTTCTCATCAAAACATACCATTATAGTGTTTGGATGGGGAATTTAAATGAAATAATTTATTTATTTGAAGAATTTCAAATTTTTTGAGATGAAATGCCTTGTTTAGATGAAGATTTATAAAGAATTTGAACTTCAAACATTTGTGAAATTCTTTGAAATAGTAAAATTTCAAATTCTCCTCAAAAAGTAAGAATTTAAAATTTTTCATATTTTTTTTCTTTTTATTTCATTTATATATTTTATCTTATCTCTTATCTCTTCATGTTTTAATTATTAAATATTCAAAAATATTTTTAAAATTATTAAATATTATCTAATATTAATTTTTAAAATTATTAAATGTTTAAAAATTAGTTAATATTTATTTTTATAAAATTTAATTTAAAAATCTCAACATATAAATATATTTTTTAAATCAAATTACCATATCCAACTTAATAATTTAAAATTTAAGAAATTTGAATTGACTTATCTAAACAAAATATTTTAAGAATGATAGAAATTGAAATCAAAGTAATTCAAATATAAAAAATTTAAAATTTCTTAAATTTATAAAATTTCTCATCCAAACACACAAATCAGCATATTTTTATGGTTAAAATATACTATTAATGTTGACTGGAAAGAGAACATGATCATCACGACTAAGACATGGATTGACATGTTGCACACTCTTCACGTCCTATGCATTTTTTATTTTTTATTTTATATAAATACAACATTCAGTTACCTTCTCCCATTCCACGAATCCATGGCAATCCTAGTTTCTGATCAGAAATAAGTACCTATCATAAACATGGTTTCCAGAAATATATAAATTAAGGTGAAGCAGGCATTGCAATCTGAAGGTGATTCCATGTAGCAATGATGGAAAAACCCAAAGTCTCGAACACAATGAAGGCGCATAAAGAAAAGCAGATTGTAGTGAATGCACAATCACAGAAAGAATCTTGTGATGCCAGTACAACGATGGCAGCTACTGACTTGCACCGGCCATCATCACAACCTCCAAAGCCAAAATTCCTGAGCCTTAGTCTTCCGAATTCAGCCAACTCATCACCTTCAACTCTGATGAAGAAGAAACTGAAACACAGGAGCACAGAATCACCATATGAAGCCAGTACACTCAAGCATCAGTATGATCAACAAGAAGAAATGCACTTAAGGAGGAGCAAATCATGTGGTGAGGGAAGAGCATGTGCACCCTCAGATGACTTTGATCTCTGGTGGGCCAAATCAAGTGCAGTGGAACATGAAAACATGCATCATGGCAGCTTCTCCAAAACTGAAGCCATCAGAGAAAGTCTTGTGAGTTGCAAGAATGTGAAAACACATGAAGATGAGGGGTTTAAATGCAGTGCTCTTTGCTTGTATCTTCCAGGATTTGGAAAAGCTAAGGCAGTTAAAACGAGAAAAGAAGGATCAGAAATGGAAGCTGGTGTAATATCTAGAACGGTTTCTTTGGAAAAGTTTGAGTGTGGTTCTTGGGCATCTTCTGCACTGTTCCTCGAGATTGAAGGAGACACCATGAATTCCTCCTACTTTGATTTGCCAATGGAGTTGATCAAATGCAGTGCTAATGATGTGCATGCACCTGTTTCTTCAGCTTTTGTCTTTGAGAAGGACCTTGAAGGGGTTCACAAGACTGGTTCCTCTAGAAAATCACCTCACCATGTTCCATTTTCCACATCTTCTACTGCAAAGCCTGTCTCTCCAGCATCCTGCATTACTCCTCGTTTAAGAAAAGCCAGAGAGGATTTTACCGCCTTCTTAGAAGCACAAAGAGCATGAACATGACGGAATCACTCCTGTGGAAAGTGGAGTGAAAAAAAAAAAAAAACTGCTTATTACACTATCTGCAATCGGTTCTGCCACTTTTATCACAATGTTTAGCCAGAGTCAAATGCTGAACTTAATACTTAAGGGAACACTTTAGGATGATTTTCATACGAATGCTTTACGCAAAAATATCTTTTCGTGCGAAAATTGTACTTAGCTTATAATCTCATGAAAATGTTTTAGTTTGTGTTTGCACAAAATTTTCACTTGAGGCATATAACCTTATGAAAATAATTTAGTGTGTTTTTGGATCAATGTTCATGATCCATGTTCTCCTTCAAATTCAAGTCAAAACTAGAAAATGATGTACAAGCAAACTCACAACTTTAGATGGATGCACGTTTCAGAGCACAAAACGTGCAATCAAATTATCAAATATTTTAGGTATGAAATAACGGGATTCATGCATTTGTCAGTTCAAAACAATTTTTTTTCGAGGATTTTATGTGATTCATGAAATTCGCTTGCTTTTTTTTTTTGGACAAAAAATATGTCCTCTTTTTTTGTCATTACGAATATCGATGAAGTTATTTTGCTTTGGTTTATTAAGAATTAAATACACAAAGATTGATTTAGTTACCAGACATGATAAATGATATTAATTCAGAGTAAATGTCTTACAAATGAGGTATTTCATCTATTAGATATTTATGACAAGATAATGAATCGTCTTAATGCATTTGTCTTATATAGAGCATTCCTCTTATTGAATGGTAAAGATCTTTTCTCTAAAAGCATCTATATTTGTTACCATTAAAATGTTATAGTTAAGGGATCTAAGATCGTGTTTTGACTTAACAAATGAATCGTCTTATATAGAGCAATCCTCTTATTGAATGGTAAAGATATTTTCTCTAAAAGCATCTATATTTGTTAACATTAAAATGTTATAGCTAAAGGATCTAAGATCGTGTTTTGACTTAACAATTTGCAATAGTCATATTCACGAAACACCTATATAAAGAAGCTTGAAGTTTCATAAATAAGAAAGAACATTTATTCATTGTAAAAATACATTCATTCTTTCTGTAAGAAACATTTACTTAATAGGTTGTATAACATCTTAATAGTAAAATGAAACAACATTGTTAGCTTACCTAATTTTAACTTAGTGTTATTGCCTTAAGATTGAAGAGGCTTTATTGTAAAAAAATACTTGGGTGTTTGAATCCTAGAGAGACTTTGTATTAAAAGAATAATTGGTTGTTTGAAGCCTGAAAAGACTTTGTGTTAAAAGAATACTTGGTTGTTTTAAGGTTCCCACATTTCTTTTGTTGTTTAGCAACTATAGAACTTGTTGTATTTAGTTTTGGATAATGAAAAAGCCAAGATGTATTTGACTTTGGTGTTGAGTTGCAATATGTTGTAGTCATCCTGTGTATATTGGTTCTCTGGTTTTGTTTCAATGACATCTCCTTCTGTAATGATCTTCCAAAGTTGGTATTGGGTGGATTTAATGAACATCTTCATCTTATCATTCTAATACGGGTAATTTTCTCCATTAAAGGCTGAAGGTCTTATGAAAAAATCTCATTCTGGTAGGAGTTTTCCATCATTGCTTGCCATGTCAAAATCTTTTCCTTTGGCATTGTTAGGTGCTCAACCCTATCAAAGGTTGAACTCTGATACCAAAATGTGGAGAAAAGAGGAACACCAGAAGAGGGTGTTGAATAGTGTTACTCAAAACTCTCACTTTTTGTAGTGTATTGAAGTAGTAACTATGACAAATATAAGAGAGCAAACGAAGTAAAAAATGAACTTGGGGATTTATATTGAACCGTCTCAACTACAAAGACCACGTCTAGTTATTGATCCAACTAGACCAAGTTCTACTATCTCGTCAAAGATACAAGTATTCTTTAACAAGTCACTTTTGACTTAACCCTAAGTATTCTTTGAATTGTCTCTTCAAGTAATCTACCCAAATATTATTTTCACACAAAGCCTCTTTAGGCTTTAATATGAGCATTCTTTATAGTCAAGCCTCTTTAGATTCAAAGCTAATAACTTAGAGTTACTAAGGTTTACAATGTTGTTTTACTTTTCTATCAAGACATGATGCAACAAATTAAGTACAAAGATATTTTACTAATAGGAAAAAAATGTAATTTTTGCAGTTGTTGATCTTTCTCTTTTTGACCCTTAAAACTTCCTTTTATATGGTGTCAAAGAAGATGACATTACAAATCCTTGAACTTCTCTCCCATGGCTTGCTTTTTCTAGTCTTCATGATTTGCCTATTGATGAGAGAAATGTTTCTTGGTGTAATGACTTCTTACATTAAATGCTTTCACCAAATTGTCACTTCTTATTTGATCAAGGAAGCTCTTTATCCCTTTTTGGCACTAACTAGGTAAACCATGTAAGTACTTTGTACTGATGAAACAACTTTCAACTGCAACTTTCCATGTTTGCAAAAGATTTATTTGTCCTTTTTTTGATGCAAAACATGTCTTTCTTTCCATTTTGTATAATGTTGGTAACAAGGAAGCATTTTTTAAAATGATATATGTTAAAGGATTGTTCAAATGTAGTTAGTTCCTTTTTTAGAGAGTATGAATAATAAAGATTTATGAATATCTCTTTTTATGACTAATGATTCATCTTATTCTCTAATAGAATTGTCTTAGTCACCATATCATCTTATACATGATTCATCTTTCTAATGACTAGTGTATTAGTGAACAATTTGTTTTAGTCATTTCGAAACCTTTATACCATAGATAAAAAAAATTTATATTTGTTATTAGCAAAACTTTAAGATTAAGGGGGTCTAACATTGTCTTTTGACCTAACAACTTGTTTGCAAAATAATACTTGGTTGTTGAGCCTAGAGAAACTTTCCTGTAAAAGAATATTTGATTGTTAAAGCTCAGAAAGACTTTATGTTGAAAGAATACTTGGATAGTTATTTGAAGAGGCAAGTCAAAGAACACTTAGTTTTGAGCCAAAAGTGATCTGGTAAAAGAATAATTGTATCTTTGCATAAGATAGTAAAACTTAATCTGGTTGGATAAAGAATTAGACGTAATCTTGATGGTGAAAATGAACTAGTATAAAAATATTTTGTGTTCAGTTTCTTATCTCTTCATGTGCACTTTTTCATAAAGTTACTAGTTCATTATTTTTGAAAAGTGCAAGTTTTTGATTGATGTGACACCCATTCTATCCCAACATATAATATAATATAATAATAAAGAATAACTCCTTCAACACGGGTAAAATGGTTCATATACCAAAATACTTTCAATTGTCCAAATAATTTTAAACAAAAATTATAAAATATAAGTTTGTAAACTCAACTATCAAAGAAATATAAAATCCAATTACAATAAAATTAATAATCTAAAATCCCTTGCCTCGATGTCACATTATCAGAGCAATCCCATGACTCAACTATTGATACCTTGAATGCCACTCATGTCCGGGTCTTCTTCACCTAAAAATAACCATGAAACGTATGGTGAGAAAAGAAGACGTCTATATGAAAAACACAATAAGAAATTTCCACAAAAAAATCTCAATTTACAATAATATAATAACACAATATCTATCATTTAAACATGCTTAACATCATCAACTTTAAATCAATCGATTTCACTATCTCATCACAAATCATATATACACTGTGTCACACATCCAGCACCGTATCATGCACACGTCCCTACTGATGCATCATACGTCCAACATTGTGTCATGCATACGATTGGGCCAATGTATTCCACTACCAGCATCGTATCACGTACACGACCGTACCGACGCATCACACATCTAGAACCATGCCTAAACATCACATAACCAACATCGTATCACACACACCCATGCCAACACATCTCACGTCCCGCACCATGTCACACATACAACTATGCCAAAGCATTACACAACCAACACCATATCACGCACATGCTCGTGCCGACGCATCACACGCCCAACACCGTATCACGCACACGAATGTGCCGAAGCATCATACACAACATTCTCAATTTATCTCAATGTCACACACACCAATATTCCCGTATAAACCAATGGATCATAAACAGATCACGCACAACATCCTCATACACATCAATTTTGTAATTCACATTTAATTACATAACATCCAACACTCACCAAATATATATATATATATATATATATATATATATATCAACACATAATCAATCAACAAACATTTCATCTCAACACAATTCCATTTCTAACTCACGTCCGATGAGATTACAATTTCACTCGCGCGTTAAGCTTAATATGAGAGCTCCTATTCTCGCCTGTGCCTGGCACCGAGATATCACACTCGACGTTAAGGCATGCTAGGGACCACCTTAAAGGATTACGCTTAGTGAAATTACATTTTCACCTGGTGCAAACCTTTTAGTTCCACCTCCATCTCCATGAAGGTGCGCTCGATGCGAGGAACTAAGTCTGGCGCCAACGTGATTTTCTACAACCTAGAAACATGAACAAAATTTACAAACATTCATCAATCAACAAATAAACTATATTTTCACATTCTAATTGGTCAAAGTTCATCATTTTCATGCACGAATACATTATGTAGTCTTAATTTTCCATAAACATATATCATTGAACAAAATCCCAATTCCCTTGAACTCTAACCTACAGGCACATTTAATTGATCTAATCTATCATTCAGAACTGCAATTTTAGTAATTTAACACCATAAAAACTAATATAAATCCATACAAAAATTGTTACTATTATCAAACATGCAAATAGAGAACATCATAAAATTACTAATAATCCTAGGGAATTCTCAGTTTACCCATTCCCTCTTGTGACTATGCATATGAAAATCCCTTTTTCCTCCGTACCTTGTTACGTTATTCCAAATAATTCTAACGCAATTGGAGATTGTTCTTGAGTACTCCTCCTCAGTGCTCTTTATTTTTTCTCTCCTCTTCTCTAACTCCTTCAGAATGTTAAAATGAAATCCCAAAATGAGGGTTAATCTGCTAACCCCTTTCCCTCGGGCTGGGTCAACCCAACTCATTTTACTTCTTGACCTGTTTCTCTTTCCCCCTCAAATAATCAAATAAATAAATAAATATAATACAAAATACTTTTTTTCCCAACATTAACAAAATATTTTTGACCCAAAATATAATATATAATTTTTATATCAAAATATCGTATAAAATCAACCTTTTAAATTTTATAACAAAATATACAATTAATTTAATTATATTCAAACCCCCTTCTAGTGTCTCTTTTTTCTCTACACTTCCCATGCACCTGCACTACTCTTGTAATAGCGATCAACATAAACAAACATAAATGCAAGGAGTACAAATATACTTCATCAATGCATAACACATACAAGACATATGGATAGTACTAACACACATG